TAAATAAGAACAGATCATATCTGTTACACCAAGTTTTACACTTTTCATTATCTGGTATATGAAAAAACCCAAATTTCTAGTATTTGGAACAGATTTATTTATTACTGAAATGCCTAGTTACCATAATTAGAAGAGTGTACAACTCTAAGATCTGCAGCCACAGTGAGTAACCAAAGCAAGTATTGATCCAAGGAAGGAGGAAATGGAAACCCTGCAGGTGACTTCTCATATTAGAATGAAAAACATGGGAAGAATGCCTCCTAGATTCATGAGAATAATGTGTCAACTCAAGAACATCCACTTGCATGTGGATTTGTTTGCCTTACTAAATAAAAGTAAAACTTTTATTTTACAGTTAATTGCAAGAGGGAGAAACAACATTAGGGAAGTGATAGAGACATTCCTTTTCTCATTTAATCATTTAAAACAATACATTTGTTTCATAGGAAGTAAACACAATATTTGAAATGTAGACACAAAGTATAACAAGGTCAGTGTTAGAAAGATAGGTCTTCATTCAAAGTACTTCCTGCTGTTTGACAGAATGACAATTCAGTTCTGAGCAGTCTTCTGGTGGCCCATAACTTTCTGTAACCCCACCACCAAGGGAATATGACACAATTTTCTGACTTTTGTGGCACCAGCTACCCAAGTGGCACACACTTGGATGTGTAGGCAAATATTTATACACATAAAAGAAAGATAAACAATATTCTTAATTATAATAAAGAAGCCTGGGAGAGAATGCAATAGGGTAACTGGGGAGTAGGTGTTCCAGATAGAAGACAGCAGGGAGTCATTTTCAAAGCACATTTTACACTACTATGAAAAGTCTTCACAAATCACACGCTGCATACAATATTACAGACAATAATGTTTATTTTTAAAAGAAGTAAATGATGAGAGGTTCAATAAAAGTCTACACAGAATATTTGGGGGAAAGTGGATTTGTAAACATTTCCCCAAATCACCTTTATTAAATTACTATTTCATTATCATGCTTGAAATTTGTGTGGAACATTTGTGTGTGGTATTATAGCTCATATATCATAATGAAATTTCTTTTTAGACTTATTTTTATTTATGTGCATGTGCTCACATGTATGAGTGTGTGTTTTTTGTGCACATGTGTGTGTGTGTGTGTGTGTGTGTGTGTGTGTGTGTGTTGTATATCTGGAAAGGCTAAGACAGCACATCTGATCTCATGGAGCTGCCTGGCATGGATACTGGGAAGACATTGCTGCTACTCTGAAGGAGTGTTCTCTTTCAAGTGATAAGCCATCTCTCCAGCTTTTAGGGCAGTTTCTTCTGGCATCCTTTCTATAGTGAATTTCCTTTGAGCAAATGATAAGTACACTTTACATTAAAGCTGATCCAAAATTTAAATCTGTAGACCTCCCATAAGGATCACATCAATTAACAGTGTTGTAAATAAACTATTAAAGATATGAGTAACAGCAAACTCCTTAATATTGTTGTGACTATGCCAGGGTTTAAAAACATGATTAACTTCTGTGCTATTGTGAAATGTTTTATTTAAGCCCCAAACAATGAAGAGTACCATATTGGGACTTACATGTATATATGTCATTCACAGGATAAATTTGCTGTTTAGTCTTTCCTTCCATTTTATTTGGAAGAGACAACTTAAAGTCCCTAGAAATCAAAAAGTTGAGTAAATGATTAGGAACTACAGATGCAAGCAAAACCAACAGAATGCAAGAGATGGAAGAAAATCTCAGGGGCTGAAGATAAACTAGAGGAAACAGATTCATCAACCAAAGAAAATCTTAAATTCAACAAATCCTTAACACAAAACATCCAGGAAATATGGGACACTGTGAAAAGACCAAACTTAACACTAATAAGTATAGACACTGATGGGAGTCACCTGAGACCTAGGGACTGTGGATCCTATGGGGGGGGTGTCCAACCCAGCTAAAGTCTGCCAGCCAGTGCCATAGACCCTTGCTCTGCCCACTGAATGAGGAAAAGAGGAGATATCTAAAGTATTGGAACTGACTGCACCCACTGCAAGGGAACCTTGGTCCCATACCCACCAGGAGAGGAAGAAACTCCTTTTGCACCCACTGGATGAGACTGCCAGCCAGTGCCATAGACCCTTGCTCTGCCCACAGAATGAGGAAAAGAGGAGATATCTAAAGTATTGGAACTGACTGCACCCACTGCAAGGGAACCTTGGTCCCATACCCACCAGGAGAGGAAGAAACTCCTTTTGCACCCACTGGAAGAAGGGATGGGAAGAAGACAATATAACAACACATTCAACAACAGAAAAACCAATATGACATCAATGGAGACTAGGGTCTCTATACCAGTAAGACCTCAGCATCCCAAAGGCAGATGAAGCAGAAAAGAATGACCTTAAATAAAACTTCATGAAAATGATAGAGGCCCTCAAAGTGGGTATGAGAAAATCCCTTAAAGAAATGGAAGAAAAAACAAACCAAAAAATACAAGAAATCAACAAATCTCTTAAAGAAAGCAAGGAAAGCCAAGAAAAAACAAACAATAGATGGAAGAAACAGTACAAACAGTTCAAGATATGAAAACTGAAATAGAGGCAATAAAGAAAACACAAGCTCTCTCTCTGCTTCTTCTTTGCTCTCTGTTTGCTTCTGCTTCTGTCTCTCTCTCTCTCTCTCTTTCTCTCTCTCTCTCTCAGGTGACTGGCCATGGCGGTCAGCTATTAACCCTGTTCCTCTTCTCTCTTAGTCTCCCTACTCTGCCTGTCCTAATAATAAACTGGTTAATATGTCTCATCTTGCACCTCCTCTTTTTCTTTATGTCTAATTTAAACAAAAACATAAGCCTTGATGCCCAACTTCATTTAGGCTCTCTCCATAAGCTCTCTCAAAGCTTGCTGGCAGGATAGGCTTTCTCTGTAACCTCTCCTGCCAGGGGCACGGGAAATTTTGGGGATCCTAAACTCTGAACTCATAACCTGCTTTCCATCTCAGCTTTCCCTGGCACTTCCTCCTGCCTGCAGCAGCCTGAGATGCGTGGGACTCTGTACACTTCAAATTGCCACTTTTCAAACTAAGGCTCTCTGGAACCCACTCATCTGCCTGTTCGCTACAACAGCTTCAATTTCCCGAGGGTCAGGCTTCGGATCCTGCTCTAGGAGTGGTGCTTTTTTGCTTTTTCAGTTTGGACCACTGGGTCCTTTTTCAGTTTCAGGACAGCTGTGTCCCCTTCGGGGCCAGGCCCCTGGCAACTCCCACGGGCAGACGTGCATCCAGAGAGGAGCTTTTTGCCGGTTTTCCACTTGCCTCACCCATGGGAAATGCATAGAGGAACCTTTCTGGTTTCATCCAACAAACAGGTAAACAGACGCGACGCCATCTTGGCCATGAGGTCTGACCTGGGGGCCACCATCTTGGCCATGTGGGCTAACCTGGGGGCCGCCATCTTGGCCATGTGACCTACCTGTAGGCATGCCCACTCCGGAGGCCTGTGCCAGCAAACCTGGCTGCTGGACTTTTGCTTTCTGCCAGATTCTTTCTTGCTTCTTATTTTTTTTGTCTCTGATTTCTTCTTTCACTGGCCTTGTTGCTTATGGCTTGTTTATAGAATACTGTATCTTTTCAGGACCCAACAGTCTACTCTGTCCTTTTAAATCTCCTGTCTGTTTCTTCCCATGTATGGATCTGTGATGTCCTTCTGGTTCCCCTTTTACTGTTACCCAGTCTTGCTTGTCTCTGTACCTGTAATTTAACCTTATACCTATCTAACTATAGATAACTTAAATTAAACTGTGCTGTCTCATATTTCTAAATTGCTATGTATCTTTAAATGATGGTAAACATTTAAAGTCATAAATTCTAATTAACTATATTTAAAATATAACCTAAGTCTATGCAACTTAAATTTAACTCATGTATCTTTAAATGATGATGAAAGTTTAAAATCACAAAGGTCTATTTCAAACTAACAAAATATTTATACCACTCAGTCCATCCTGTATGCCATTTACAAAGGCACAGCCTTTATTATAAAAAGGGATTTTTCTCTAACTGAAGGCAAACTTTTGACTGCTGAGATACTAAACAGACAGACAGTCCTAAAATGCTCAGAGATCTAGAGAACATGGCATTTAAAATGTTTTGTTAAAAAGTTTTTATAACAGAGAGATAGGCCAGATGCTGGCTCCACCCCAATTCCTCCAAGAAGACTGATGGGCACTAAAGAAACTTCATTTTGAGTCAATGACAATGCTAGTAACTGAGCAACCCTGCCCTTCACCTCAATTGCTGCAAAGTACTCCCGACCGTGGACAAGAGGACAGTGGAATAGACTTTCCCTGCGTTGCTTGGGCCAATGGTAGGTGAGCCTGCCTGTAGTCCATAATCCACAGGTCACATGATTTCAGCAAGAAGGCAGGTGTCCTGCAGCCCACTACTATGGATGGATGACCTTGGGGATGGCTGTCCATGCAGCCTGCTGGCAAGTCTCTGTTATTCTTTAATCATTAACTCAGGTAAAATCTTATCCTTCTCAAGAACTCTGATGCTTTTGATGACTGGTAGTCTTGCCAGCTTAAAGCAAAACAGATTTCAGAAACAGGTATTTTAGGGTTTATCTATATGAAGATAGGAAAATGTAAGGCATATGAAGATCTTGGAATGTAGTTACAAAGGTATGAGGATGGAAAAGTCTAACACGGTGGATAAATGCAAGTTATGAAGGTTTGAGAATGGAAGGTATAAAGGGATGAAAAAGAAAGGTCTAAGATGGTAATGTAAGGTGTATGGATTAAAGTTATGAAGGTCTGAGAATAAAACAGTTTAAATGATGATAAAGTGAGTTGAGACATTAAAAAGAATGAAATATGTTCCTGATTTCTCTTGTTTTTCATGCTACTGTTCATAGTAAAGTCCTATAATACTACTATAGAATCATAACTACAAGGTCAAGAATAAGATGCTTTTCATTGTCCTGTCAATTTTATCTGTCAATTTTAAAATGTTAATGCTTTCAGCCAAGTTGCTTCTAACAAGAATATTCTGCTAATGTATCTAGTACTTACGTTTCCCCAAACTCTAAGGATTCTTGTAAGTTCCAGGGAGCTGAATTTGATCCAAACAAACATCTCAGATTCACTCCAGTTATTCAATCTTTCCCTGGTTCCAGGACTCGCTTCCCTCATGCTGGGACTCCTTGGGAACTCCTCCCTCATCTTATAATCATCCCCTCAAGTGACAGGACCTAAGACAAAATTTTTTTTTCTGAGCTTAACCTTGTCCTCTGCTGCCAACATCTTGCCAGGTCTAAAAGTCGCCAGGGAGTTCCGTAGAGCCTGGACTGCAATGAAACAACCAGCTACCCCAGGATGTGGCAGCACCCCAACCTTCTCAGGTCCCCCAAAGATGGTCAATGCCCCCATGTCAGCAGGAAGCAATCTTGAGAATTCGACGCCCTTATTCCTTAAGCTGCCATGTCTAACACCCCACCTTTTTAAATAATAAGATGTGGGAATGAAATGTTCAGGCTTTAATGCTGATCATCTCTACCTCTTTAAGAGACAGACCCCGCCCTGTGACAACAGTCAGGGCATGCACAGGGACGTGCCATGACCACATCACCCACCACGCATTTACAGCCTGCATGAGGACTCTGGGCATGTGTGGAACCTCAGTGCACATGTGCAGTCTTCCCTTTAAAAGTTCCAACTTCCCTGCTTTTCTCTCTCTCTCTCTCTCTCTCCTTCTCTCTCTCCTCCCTACCTTTCAACCCTGTTCCTCTTCTCTCTTAGTCTCCCTACTCTGCCAGGCCTAATAATAAACTGGTTAATATGTCTCATCTTGCACCTCCTCTTTTTCTTTATATCTAATTTAAACAAAAGCATAACACCTCTCCCTTTATCTTTCTCTCCACCAGACATAATCCACTTTTGACTTTCGGTAAGCCACCCATTTCCTAGTCACCACCTAAAGAGGTACAGGGCACCTCTTCCCAGTTCCAGGACCTTCAGGTTCCCCTACCAAGCCAGAGCTGTGCCAGGGCAAGCCCAATATGTGCAAAGATGGTCTCTGTTTCAGGGGGTGCTTTGCCTAAGGAGATACCATTCCCAAAGGCTACCCCACACCCACTGCTCAACCCCAGGCTATCTGGTGGGATGCTTTGCCATAGTCTTCACTCCAGCACAGTCTTGGAAATGAGCAATGCCAGGTCTAAAACCAATCCTCAGTCAGTCCTGAGGTTTCTGCTGTGAATTTTATCCAAATTGGTGCTGTCTTACACCATACACCCAAAACAAATGGTTTGAGCTCCCTTATATCCACGATTTTTTAATTTTGTTTTGGTTTTTGGTTGTTGTTTAAAGTGGGAAATTACCAATACAGAGCCAAGTAGAAATATAAGGGTATTTAATAGGGGAAAGCCTTACTGACAGAGTGACCTAGCTAGCCAGCGCAGCAGCAGTCTGTACAGCAAGCCAAAAAGGAAAACCGTAAGTGACTAGCCACTGAAACTCTCACTCTATGTCACCCTGACCATGCCCTCGCAGGCGTGGTCAGACACACCTGTAGCCAGCCCCTAACTAGACATGGCTACATCTTCCCCTACAGTTGTTGTTACTGTTTGGTTTTGGTTTATTTATATTTATTTCTTTACTGTGTTGTCTTTGGTTTGCATGTTTGTCTACAGGCCAGAAGAGGGTACCAGATGTCACAGATGGTTGTGAGCCACTAGGTGGCTGATGGAAATTGAACTCAGGACCTCTGGAAGAGCAGTCAGTGCTCTTAAACTTTGAGCCATCTCTCTAGCCTATGTCCAGGTTTTTTGAGATCTGCACTTCCACCCCTTCCTCTGTAACCAGTGCTCGGCAGCCCAGGTTCTCTTGGCCAGGGTTGTGGTGGGTCCAGATGCTTTTTCACCCAGAGACTAATCCTGAGCCCTCCACAGTGATGGAGCCACCCCTGCACCCATACACACATGTCTTCTTCTTCATCTCTCATCTTTCTTTTTGTCTGTCTGCTGCTTCTCTCATGTCCCCACTCTGAGACAGCCTTTCGCTTTTCACTTTCCCTATTCCCTAATACACCCCTTGTATTAACTCTATTGCATGTGGTGTGTTCTCTTAGTGGCATACCTTGGCCCACCAAAGGTACCTACCTCACCATTTTTCTTTTCATCGATGCCAAAGACTAAGCTCCCTGGGTATTTAGTCTGGCCATGCTGGGATCCTACCTGTCCATTTCACCCACACAGATCTGATTTCCCTGCTTATTTCTGTCTGCTGATCCACCATACCATAGTAGGATCCTACCCACCCACTCCACCTGCAACAAATGGGCTCATTTGTTTCTGTCTGCTTTCCTACTCTAAACTTCATAAATGTCTGGTCTATACAATATGATCCAAGTGGGATTAACAGACATCTATAGAACATCCCATCCAAACACAAAAGAATAAACATTACATACACCTGTTCTCCCTTGCATCATCTACCGATATAATAAAACATACCAGCTCCTGGCAGCACCCCTATATCCCCCAAAGAAAATGGATGGTGCAGCACCAAGGCAATAGGTTTTCTGTCCCCCAATAATAGTTTTCTCCACCAACAATCAAGCCAAATTGAAGAAGTATAACAGTTTTCTTTGAGCAATGCAACTTGGTGTTTCTCTTTGTTCTGTATATTTAGTGTGTAACTATAATACAATATGGAGAGTTAAAAAAGAAAAAAACACAAACTGAGGGAATACTAGAAATAGAAAAGCTGAGTAAATGATCAGGAACTACAGATGCAAGCATAAACAACAGAATACAAGATGTAACTGAGAATCTCAGGCATTGAAGATAAACAAGGAGAAATTGATTAATCAACCAAAGAAAATCTTAAGTCCAACAAATCCATAACACCAAATATCCAGGAAATATGGGATACTGTGAAAAGGCTCAACCAAGAATAATAGGTATAGAAGAAGGTGAAGAAACCCACCACAAAAGTGCAGAAAGCATATTTAAATCATAGAAGAACATTTTCAAACTAAAGAAAGACATGCCAATGAAAGTACAAGAAGCTTACAGAACACCAAATAAAGTCAAATCTATCAGAATTACACCTGACTTTTCCATGGAAACCCTGAAAATCAGAGGTCTTGGATAGACATTCTGCCAACATTCTTCCAACACTAAGAGCCCACAGATGCCAGCCCAGACTATTATATCCAGCAAAACTTTCAATCACTATAGATGGAGAAAATAAGATATTCCACAACAAAGCCAGATTTAACCAATACATATCCACAAATCCAGTCCTACAGAAAGTACTAGAAGGAAAACTCCAACCCTAAAAGCATAGGCAATAGAAAATCCCAATTAACCAACAGCCAAAAGAAAAAAAGGAAAGGAAATCCACACACAAACCCACCAATACCACCAAATCCAAAACAAACAAGAGTGAACAATTAATGGACATTAATATCCCTAAATATTAATGGTCTTAACTCACCTTTAAAAAGACACAGCCTAACAGAATGGATATGAAGACAGAATCCATCCTTCTGCTGCATACAAGAAACACCTCAACTTAAAGACAGACATTACCTCAGAGTTAAGGGGTTAGGAAAAGATTTTCTAATCAAATGGACCAAGGAAACAAGTGGGGGTAGCAATCCTAATATGTAACAAACTAGACTTTAAACTAAAATCAATCAAAAGAGATGGAGGAGTTCATTTCATATTCATCACAGGAGAAATCCATCAAGATGAAGTCTCAGTTCTGAACATCTATGCCCCACATACAAAGGCATCCACATTCATAAAAGAAACATTACTAAAACTCTAATCACATATAAAACCTCACACACTTATAGTCTGAGAATTCAACACTCCATTCTCACCACTAGACAGGACTATCAGACAGAAACTTAACAAAGAAACAAAGGAACTAATAGAAGATATGATCCAAGTGGGATTAACAGACATCTATAGAACATCCCATCCAAACACAAAAGAATAAACATTCTTCTCAGCACCTCATGAAACTTTCTCTAAAATTGACCACATACATTATCATTACTGTTTTTTTTATTTTAGCAATCCTGACTGGAATAAGATGATATGTCAGAATTATTTTGATTTGCATTTCCCTGATGGCTAAGGATGTTGAGCACTTTCTTATATGTCTTTCAGCCATTTTAGATTCCTCTGTTTAGAATTCTCTATTTAGTTCTGTACCCCACTTTTTAATTGGAATTTTGTTTTGGAAACTAGCTTCTTGAGTTCTTTGTAAGTTTTGGAGATCAGCCCTCTGTCACATATGGGGTTGGTGAATATCTCTTCCAAATCTGTGGGCTGCCACTTTGTGTTGCTGACTGGGTCCTTTGCCATACATAAGCTTCTTAGTTTCAGGAGGTTCCATTTGTTAATTGGTGATCTCAGTGTCTGTGCTACATGTGCAATGATTA